GGCATGTTACCGACATTCAGAACCTCAAGGTTCGATGCCCCAAGAAACTCCATCAGGTCTTCGCCTCGTCTGTTGGTGTTCGAGCTGCCCCACGCAACGTGATGGGCATTACTGTCGCATCCAATCACAAGGTCGAGTCCAGAATCCCTACAGAATGCGACAAGGTCCCCCATTTCCTTAGACGGAGGAGGGTCTCTTGAATCGTAAGGAAGGTAAGCCGAACAGACAACCAAGTCCCTGTCACTGCCTTCCTTCTTATATCTAATTCTGACTGCAACTAAGTCTCTAAATGTAAATTCTTTAAGTTGCCATGAGTTGACGGAAGTCATTACGCAAGCTCTGGGCTTAGTATCCGGAGTATCGCTAAAAAGCGTATAGCCTGGTATACTAAGCCCGTTTACTGAACCGTTTCTCAGCCAGGGTTCCTGGATGAGAGCCACGTCATGTCGGCCTCGAGTGATCTCCTGAGTAAGGGCCCTCGAAGCCGCTATGCAGTGTTGTAAGTTAATTTGGATGAAATTAAAACTTACCATGGATGTTGAGAGGCCCTTCCTACACCTTCCCGAATGACGGTATGTAACCCCTATTCGGGCGTACCGCCGTCGCCGCCGCAGTCATCGCTGCCACAGCCGCCTTCATCTCCGCTTCCACGGAGGAGTTCTCGGACTCGGTTCAGGATTACATCCTCGTCCGAGTCGCTATCGTTTTCCTCTGGGACCAGATCCATCGCAGGGTCCGCCACGATGTTTTCTGCGGATATCCCGCTTGGACCCGCCGCCTCCACGTCCGTAGCCTCCGGTGGCTCCAGCGAGAGCTGACCCGGCCGACCCATCCCCTGTGAAGGAGCCTGGTCTACCGCCACAGCTCCCGTCGGTCTGGGCTGGTCCGACTCCTGGTTTGGAGCCAGGCCAGTTCCAGCAGGTGTCGCTCCACTGCTCTTCTTCTTGCTCAGGAGTGTAAACACCCCCGAACTTCCACCGCAACACAGCCTGTTGCCGTTACCTACAATGACCTTCCAGCTTATGGAATCAACTGAGAGGACAAGTCGGACACCTATCGGCTCTTCCTTCCTCTCAAGTATCCTCCACGCGCTGGGAAAAGTCCCAGGATTGTGCCTCCTGAGTCTCCTCGTGATGACCCCGTTGTCCAGGTTGGGACCCGGAAACCAGGCCATCACGCGGTGGTATATGGGAAGGTCTCCAAAGCTCATCGTAATGAGCCTTGCGCCTTCCCACGGCCGCAGATCCCCCACGTGGGCCTCCAACCATGCCCTAGAGGATTCGTCCTCGCAGACAAAGATGGCTGCCCCTCGAGAGAGGTAGCAGTCAATGTACCTGGGAAGGGTCACCTCATCTGGGATCCCATCTATCAGCACACTGACCGCCTCCTGGACCTGCTGCACCTGTACATTAGTAAGTTGAGTCCCAGGATAACCGTCGGACACGACGGCCACCCTGAGACCCGCTTGGGACGCTCGCGCATAACTAATTTGCGCATGCGTCGCAGTGCGAGGCTTCTTCCGCGAGGATGCACCCTCCGGTGTCCCACCGGCAGACCTCTGCCGCTTCCCGTCACCGGGCCGCTTTAGGGTCTCCGCTGACACACCGGATTGCGCACCGTCTAGCCCAGATGGCGGTTGGGTCCGTCCAGCCGGGGTCCCAGAAGTGGTGCCCCGACCTTCCGAGCCCTCCGTCATCTGCGCCTCTCTCCGCTTCCGAGCCCTTTTCCTTTCGGAACCTGGCCGAGACTTTTTCTTAATCTTTAGAGAGCCCACCCTTTCCGCTAGCTCTCTCGCTAAGCTTCTGACAGATTCCTCTGTCAGAGTACGATCAGGGTCCCCTGGTGAGGGGTCGCCTGGATGTTCGGGGTCCCCTGTAGGGGGGGCCTCGGGTTTTTTATTATTTTTTCCATCGTTTGGTTCCATAATGTTCCCACGAGTATAGGGGAAGTGGTGATCGACGTCCGCGGTGCCCCTACACGGACGCAAGGCTGGATACTCTGGGAGGTCGCCCGGTGTCCCAGAGGCTCCGTTTAAGACGGTGCATCCCCACCGCCACGCACCCCTCGGCACGGAATCGCTTAACACCTTGGGTTGGGTAACGTACCATTGCCCATGATGACCGTTGAGCTGCAGGCGTCCCAGATATACATCCGAGACACCTGTGGCTCAACGAATCATTCGATTGGCCGGGCTACCGGCTTTCCGGCGGGTCTCCTCAAAAACTAATCGAGGCGGTCCACCGCAAGACCGGCACCCCGTTGCCCCCCCTACACGGTCGCACACGGTTCAGCGCCCAAGGCCGCCCCGCAGAACGAACTCGAGGACGTACGGGTTGGATTTTGTAGGGGCATTTACACTAATGTTTCACTTTATATCTGAAATGTCGAACTGAATCATAATTAATTTTCAATAGAGGAATATATTTTTGCCCAACATGGCGGGTGGTTATGTATAATCATGGCATCGTCTATGTTGTCTTTGGCTTATTAGAATATTTTGGTGTGTCTGCAAGTGTTATACAACAATTTGACAAATCTCTAAAATGAAATACGGACAGTGTCGAATGATTTACTCAGAATTTATACCAGACCTATATCTCATGTTTGAACAGTTGATAAAACCTTTTAAACCAATATGCATGTCTTGAAATATTGGTTATGGCGTTTTAACTAAAAAGATGACAGCAGAAAGTTAGGTTACGGTGAAGTTGTATACCAGCATATTTAGCTACAAATGTCTGCCGAGCACAGCCATTTTGTACTATAAAAGTTGTAATATTGTTGCAGATGTACAGCCTTTCACAGTTACGTAGTTGCATACGTGCTTCCGTTGGGAGAAATATGATGGGTAAAGTAGTAAATGTGCACACCAAAACAACAAGGCTCGGGTTTGTTGTATAAACGTTACCATGGATGCCACAACACAACTATTTTTACTACCGCGTAAATATGCCGTATAAAATAGTTGTATGAACGTTGATGCAACCGTTCAAAATTTGCCCTATAAGGTGTTGTATAACTATGCTATAAGAATGTTTTAAACACCTCATTTTAGAGCAAATATGCTGTAGAAAGCAAATCTGCATTCCACACAACATTAAGCCTGTATTTTGATGTTAAGGCAACAACAATATAGAGGTTTTATGGCTGAACAATTCTTTTACCAAAAGCTTATAGCACTACTTTGCTAGTTTTGTAGTCTGTTGAAAAGTTTAATCGAGTATAGTACAGCAAATAGGACCACCAACTAAGTACAAGGGGTGTCAGGTCATAGTTTTAACATGATTTCCAATAATGAAACGATACTAATAGCTTAAGTTCCAGCCGTTTGGATCTGTAGGTACCTATCTATTTTCATCATAAAACTTAGCTTCTATGAAGGCTACATAATAGTAGTATAGTTTACACTAGGGTTGCCTGGAGATATCCAGCCTGGCCGAAAAATGTTCAACTTGAGTTCAAAAGTGTGTTGTATTTGACCTAATTGTGAGATAATTATGACTGGCATTTCAACCAAAAAGTACCAGCTTACAATGCTTTTTCCCGCTTTGTTATCATGGAAACGTTTTCGAGGTCCAATTTGATCAGTCGTACACAGGATGTTTTTTCTTTATCTAATTTTTTCTACAATATTGGAAAAAATCGCTTGAATGAAGAGTGTCTCGCAACACCATTGCTACATTTTCTAAGAGAAAGATTCATAAATATCCGAAGACTTAAGGTTGGGCGAGGTTCTGTGAAAATTTTAACACGATTTCATCGAAGAATCCTCGAATTCGTTACGTAACTTAGAAACTGACGTTACATCAATTTTTAATGTATATTTTTCCGAAAAAAATGCAACCTGTCATTCACGTCATGTTCACTTGTACCAGTTGTGCGTGTTGTCCTTACGTCGTGACACTAAAGCTATATGGCTTGGCTCTGATGTGATGTAACATCTGGTTCAGAGATGACACTAGTGGACGGTTTTGTAGCTTCTTTAGCTTGAGCTAAAAATTCTATACTATGGTATATAGGTCACTTATAGATCGTTGTTGCATTCCTCCATAGGTGGCGTTTCCACCATTATGCCGAGTTTTAATGACATTGTCTCCATATTTTACGTAATAGCCCTTCCGGGTGCGTTTTATTTAAACATGGTGCTTGCAATGTTACACCTATTTAGCAAATGTAACACATTCCAAATGTTGAAAATAGAATAATATTGTACTTCCCATCCCTAGAATCCCATATTTTTAGTTTTCATGTCCATTTCACAGAAACAGGTCAAGCTATGGAGAAAAAACTTTGGTAGTTTAGCTCAGTATCATTATTATTAAGAGTTTAATATACACTTGCATTTTGGCGGTATTCATTTTATTTGAAAATTTATGGCATTACTTTACATTTCTACCAAAAGCGGAGGGAAAAGAGTCATGTAAATTTACCTAGGATCGAACTTGCTGGTGTTTGGCTGCGTATATTGACTGTAGGCTCCAGGCTCCTGGACCTTGACTATCGGTTCGATGTATCGTGGACACTGGTCCACAAGGGCAGTATTGACTATGGTAGGACTGTAAACAGCACTTCGACTTCTGGGAGCATCGTTGGGTACGTTCTCGTAGTTGGGCAACTGAAGGAGGAAATAAGAGATGTTCGGAAATTCGTATTCACTAATATATCGATCAGTGGCGCTCCCAGGATTTCAGTCTGGGAAGGGTAAAATGGAAAGTAAATCCTCAGTGTGACGTACTGAAGTGTTATAATGATTTAATATTAAAAGCATGGACATATGCAGACATATGAATTTGTTACAGTAATTTCTGTAAAAAATACATACCATTTTTTAATATTGAATCATAAGAAATCAAAGTGGAAACAAAGCAAACCAAGCTCGAGCAATCTTCATGTATTAAAACAAACAATATCAGACAAAACAACAAAAAATACATCTTCATGAAAAAAATAACAATAACAAATATGATACGACTTACATAAAGATTAAAACTGAATGTAAATCAAAATAAAATTCTCAATTATGAGAAAAACAAAAAAAATATCCATTGCATACATTCTCTTAGCCAGTCTCAAAAAACAAATACATATAAGTTATGAAACTAGATCAGTTCACAGTCTCAAAATAAAACAATCATTATATTAGCTTAGAAAGTGATTTGAACAGAATTAGAACAGACTTTTATATCAATCTGCTGGCCAATAAATAAAACCACATATCGTGATTGGATACTTTGGAAAAGATCACCGCGGTGGTTTAAACGTAAGTGAACCCTTAACTACATCTGCTCTTTTATTTATTCGCCAACAGACGGGAGATGGATTTGAGAGGCAACCTTGGGCAAAGTTCGGGTGTTATCATATTACAAAATCAAGGCGCCTATTCTTTTTGTTGGCGAATCGATCTATGATTTTATTCACGCCGATTTTAATATTCCTATGCATATACAAAAGAGCTAAGCCCACTAATCGCTCTTGTAACATAGTGGAGCGCAGCCAAGTTTTTAACCTCTTTAGATGGGAGAAACTTCTTTCGGATGTGGCAACAGTTACCGGCAATGAAATCAATAACTGTAGGCATCTATTAATTGAAGGAAAAATGTTTTCATCACATGATAAATACAGTGACATTCCACTGTCTATAATATCTTGTGTACGTGACTTCCAAAGGTCGAATTCTCCTTCTAATCTGGTACTTATTAAATTTTTGTTTTCGTTACTATTTAGTCCACGCAAATATTTAGAGATTGTTTCTAATATGTCCATTACTTCAGCTTCAGTATTTGAATTAAATACTGACGCAAAGAAAATATTAAAATTGTATATATCCGACGATTCTTCATTGATAAGGTATACCAAATCCTGTAATATATTATCTAGCAAAGGGACATATAGGTTCAGTCTGTAATGATTTTCCTTGTCACACGTTACTATGTTCGGTCTGTTCATTTGCCTGCTTGTTATTCTAGGCACAGTCAGTTCAATACAACTGAAATAATATTTCCTATGAGTTTGCAGGGTATTGTTTGTCAATTGTTTTTTATTGTAAAATCTTACTAATTTTGACTGTTAAAGCTTATATATCACAAACGCACTTTAGCTTTTGAAGAAGCTTCGAGGTCTTTTCAATTTTATATAATATTAAGTACCTCTACAATTTTCTCGAATTTGCTTTAAAATTGGAGACTCAGAATCATGTCTCTCGATCCATCGTGTTTCACACATACTATGAATTTGATATCCGCATAGTTTTCTTTTTAATACTGTATTTCTTTTAGCAGATGCTTCGAAGAACGCAATTACTTCCTTCATTATACCTACATTATTTCTTACTGCTTGGATACTGCTGCTTTTTGAAATCGAAAGATTCAAGGCATGTTTTGCGCATGGGATTTTTAGAGCATTTGGCAAACATTTTTGCAATTCCGTTACAGCGCCATTTTGTTCACCTAACATTAGGTTACACGTATCAGTACCAATGCCTATACATAGATTTGAGTCCAAGTTATTTTTTATATGTTTTTGATAACAATACCGCAATACGATTGACATTTGTGATTTATGACTAATGTTTGTAGTTTCGTCAAATATAATACTGTAATACTGACTTTTCCTGAGGCGACTTAAAACTATATCCAAGATTTCTTCACCACAACATTCTATAATGTCATTTGGAATGGCGCTGCTTATGTACGTAGCATGCGCTTTTGAGTTCTCCAAGTTTTCTTTCAATAAATTGTCGACTATAAACCGTATTAGTTCTCTAAAATTCCTTTCATTGTTAAGAACATCCTCAACATTCGTGCTGTCATTAGAAAAGAGTCCTTCCCTATCTATATGCTCTCTAAGTGGTACATTTTGGTGTCCTAAAATAATTATAGATTCTACTATAGGAGTAAATCTTTCCCGATTTCCTGATACTAGCTTAATTCGCTCTGAACCTATATTTCATATATCATTCTCTGGATTTTCGTAAATCTTTGAAAAGTTTGTAGCATCTGAAGCTGCTTGTGTATGATATACTGAGTTCTCATGTATCTCACAATCACCGGTTTTGCCATACAATTTCGACAACTTCTTTAGTGGCACGGAATCAAGTTTTTCCAATTTAGTTGATTTATGTACTCCTCCTAATTTTGCAAAGACCACGCAATATTTACAGAAAAGCCCTTGTAGTTCCTCTGAGTATGACAGCCAAGGAAATGTCTTTTTTTGATAAGTAACATTAAACTTCTTTATTATTTTTCAATTGTGTATTTGAAAGAGTCATTAGGGATCATTGCACACCTCAAAAAGGTATATTTCTCATGGGAAGACAAGTTGCCGCTGAAATTTATATATAGCGCAACATCAACAAAATGGGATCCTTTAGGTTTCGCACCCAATTTTTCAATACTTGGTTCAGCATACGGTGCAACATCAAGAAACTTTGAAGTGGAAGGCTCAGGTTAAATTGTAGGATTATCATCAGTTTTTTACAGTAATTCTTGTGCCGATGGATCATACAGTTTGTTTTGTTTAGAAAGGAACCAATCGATGGTATCCTGTTTCCTTTTACTCATCCTGAAAATAGCATATGTCAACCAGCACTAAAAGTTACACAAATATTGTCAAATAAACGGCATTATTGGTTTCCACACATTTACGTATCTTATAACAAAGAACCTTTTCTGTTTGGAAAACAAGACTTCGTTCACGCAATTTTCAAAAACCAAACATATAATTTGCCATCTCGGACGAACGAAATGCACTCAAGTGCTTATATACGTATACAGGGACCTCCGAGACAAAGTAGACATAGATGATAATGATAGCTGGAGTATGGACTAAGCACTTCGTAATTGAAATTATATTAAATTTCCATTTTTACGTCTGTCATTGTTTCAGACACGATTCTTTTATAGTATAAAAATTAAAAACAAACAAAAATTAATTTCCTGGCATATGCGTGGAAAATAAAAAATGAATAGAACATAGAAAGTAGCGGTAATACCAACAACAACAAAACTCCGATTATTCAGTTCTCAGCCAAATTTCGTTGCGGACTCAGGACTGGTACAGAATTTAGACACTAGACTAGACCATAAAAGACTAGACTATACCTGTTCCAACTGGAAGAAGCGGAAACCATTGGTGGGAGAGTAGTCGCTAGTTGCATGCGCACTGAGCGGGTTGGCTGTGTTGCCGCTATCTTTTCTTAATGTTACAGATTTTTTTATAAGACGTTTACTTTATACCACCTCTTGAAAGACTGATCGAGTCGTCTTGGAGGGGGGGGCAATTACCCCCTTTACCCACCCTCCCGTGGGAGCGCCAGTGATAGGGATTCAAAATAAGTAAAACCATAAATCTCATAGACGAGTTGAGATAACTTTAAGATTCAAATGAATGTCGGCCACTTTGACGAAATACTTCAAGCACCATCATTTTTGGGCATATTTTTGACTACTAAAATATTGTAGTGTAGGTAGGAAAAGACTGATGTAATAATTATATCAATACTTATAAAGAAATGATAGGATTAGCAGGCGTTTAGAATCCCATAGGGGCTAATGTAGAGGAGAATTTTCCTACATCTAATGGTACGTTTTTCGGAATGGATATTTTGTAAATGAATTCGTATAAAAATGGTCAAAATAAAGCCAAGCATCATAAATGCAATAAATGTAAATGTTTACCGGTTGTGCAATGGCGAGGTTAGAGTCACCCATCGGTCCTCTTTTCATCGACATCCGAAGAGGTTTGTCCTCATCGTCGCTGCTCTCGCTGTGGTTTCCCCCACCTCCAGAGGAGTTGTGTAAAGTCTGCTGTTGAATTCGAGCAACAAGATCCTTCACAGATGGTCTCTGACTGTCATCGTCCTGGTTCTCCAGTTCGTCCATGCTTCTGCAAGAAAAAAAGCTGCTGGATCTCTAGCTTACACATTCCAGAGAAGCCAAAAAATTTCAGATGATTCAGTTAATCCATATCATATTTTATACAAGTGGCCGTTCATGAGACTTCAAATTAAAAAAGAATTTTACTTGTCTTACAACATATATTCGTCTTGACAGAAAAAACCTTTGAATAAAAATTCACCTTCATATATCTAGTGCAAAGCCTTTTGCGAAAAAAATACAAATATTCACAGTTGTAAATATGTCATCCATGGCAGATATGTAAACATATCAACCATGGAATGTGTCCAAACTCAGCCAATAACTGTTCAACAAAATGATTTGTCCCCACAAAAATATCACCGATAGCGATATATCATACTGTGACCTCGGATGTGTAATATTTTTTTGTTATACTAATTTGCCAATCTGTTTTGCGTTTATAGTAGTAGTGATGACAGAAGTGCTAGCAAAGTGTACATGTATCAAATGTTTGGAAGAGATGTAAATAAACAAGATGTAGTATTTCTTCAGTAAATTTAGGCTGAAATCAGATGCAATATTTCATCCAAACAGCTGGTAAAGTTAAACGTGTTGCAGGTCTCAGAGACTATTGACCTAAATGCATTTCTGCGGGTAGATATAGATCACAGGAAAGTTACTGTAACATATGAATATACATTTGCACCGTAGAGCTTCACCGTATACATAGGTATAGGATACAGCATGAATAAGAAATCCAAAAATGGAGTTGGTCGAATCAGTATTTTTATGTTTTTCTCATAGATTACAAATATAGTTTGCTTAAACAAATGATACTGTTGAAAACGTTTTGATATATTTACTCCGCGTTAAGTTAGAGCCACTTTGAGCTACTCACAAAAACAACAGCGTCTGGACTGAATGTGAAACCGGGTGTCGTGCTGCTCTAATCTAAAAACGTTCCTAATTTGAGAGGCGGTACTAACTTATTACTGACAGTTAGCGCTGTCAAACGTTTAGACTCCTGAGAGCTTATTCTGATTTCAGGCCAAAGTCTTTGAAAGCTACAACCGACTGTTGTCCTTTTTGAAAAAATTTAAATCTTTCTCGTGCTCCTTAATTTTTCAATAGCATTTTCAGTGATACAGAAAATAGGACACCCAGTATGGTGTAGTTTATTTGAATGAAGTTTTGTATAGTTGTAGCCACCGTTCTTGGCAGGTTAAAGTAGGACTACCAGTCTCCCTTTATATATCTCCATCTCCCTCATACATACACATTTTGATGGCGATAGTTCATTATCATGGGAAAGGAAAATTTCGAAAAACTAGCTTTAATTTATCATGAGTCAATTATAATTCATCTATGAGCCAATTCCAAACAATAAACATCAGTCATCTTTCAAAAGCTCTTTCAAGATTAAAATCGAATCTAAATCCTAAAAATGGTTCTAAAATAATGTTTCAAAATTGTTGTAGAGAAGTTATCATTGTTAGTGCATCACTGTTTAGTTTATGGGGAATTAATTATATGCAAACATGCGGCCAATTAATGTACTATAGTTGTAGTCAGTCACCATTCTTGGCGGGTCAAAGTAAGACTATTAGTATCCTTTTATATATTCCCATCTCCCTCATACATACACGTGCAACCTACCCCTGTGTGTGAAGGTTTGTTCGGTAAACTCAAAGCCATCATACGTTTTTAAGTTCTGTGTCTCCGTCTCGAAAACTTTGTTGTTACGTGAGTGCCCTCCAATCATATTTATCAGAGAGACAACTTACTTGACATGAGCGTGCAATTTTAGTTGTCATATCATCAATCATCTATATATAATTGTACAATGCCAGGAAATACGAACAATGGAGAAGGCCGACAGCTCGTGCTAAATTTATTAGAGTATTTTGAGGAAGAGAATGAAAATAACGGTCCCCTGTTACCCACTTCATGCGCACTGGAGAGAGTAGCAGATGCGCTAAAGATTAGTCTGCGCCCACGGTACGTAGACTCGATCTGTTCGCTTATTTCATAAGGCGTTGATGACGAAACCACCAAGAATGGTGACTACAAATAGATACAGTTGGATATGGT